GCATCTACTCTCCAAGGAATACAGTTCCTTCAAATGTATCTAGAGTTGCTTTATAGAGTATATTTATACTGTACCACACCAGTTGAGTTAAATCTGATTTGAATGATATAAATGGTTAATGGAATATAAACCTTGGAGAATGTGAGCGCTTCCATGCTGAAAAAGTATTAAAGTATTACCAGTGTTGTAGGAGTTTGCTTGCTATTTTACTACCATTCTGTAATATGCACTTTCTGTTCTTTTAGGATTTGATTCTTGAAATTAATGAACTGCGGTACAGATTTACAGAGCTGGAGAGTGAAAAACTACAGTACGAAAAGAAACTTAAATCCACAAAGGTGAGTTGTCACGGGGGCGTTTGCACACTTCCACTCTTTATGAAAAACTATTCATGACTTATTATTCTTTCTTGGCTGTTTGTGTATCTTTGGGAGCTGTCTTGTCCAGCTAAACACTTTTGCTGTCAAGACTGTAAAAACATGTTTGGTTCACTTTATTTCTGCTTCTGTAAACCTCTCCCAGTATGATTTATTCATTTTATTTATCCTGGTTCCAACATTCGGGCGGCTGTGAGTTGTTGTCATGACTCCGTCTGATCTGGAAGTTACCTTGTTCATTGGACATGAGCCCGTTGTTTCATATCTTATCTAGATTGAAGCTTTAGGAGGAATTGTGCCTTTGCAGTGTCTACCCATAGAGCGTAAAACTGCTCTTTGGACTCTGCTGATGAGCTGTGTCTTTAAAAAAAAAAAAAAAAAAAAGTGCTCCATAATGTAAAGGACTTGGTTTGAGTCTTTGGGTGTTCTGCCTTCTTGACCTCCTTTTTATCTCTCACTTATAGCACATCTATTTTCTCTCCCTTCCTTGGTTTGTCTCTCTACTGCTAGTCGCTAATGGCCAAGCTTTCTAGCCTGAAAATCAAAATGGGCCAGATGCAGTATGAGAAACAGAGGAAGGAGCACAAACTCCAGGCTATGAAGGTTGGCTTTTCTCAGGATGACTGCTTTGCTTGCTGTATGATTATGGTTTTTGACCTCTCCCTTTGGCTCCTCTTTGTTTTTATTTTTGATGGGAATAAAGTCATTAAATCGGGTTTGCAGCAGGTTTCCATGTTTGTTTTTGTTTTGTTTTTTTACCATTTTTGGCAAAATGATGTCACTTCTTGCAAACAATGAAATCACTTAATTTACTGAACTATGCAGTACAATAAAAAATGCGAAAGACAAGTGTAGTCAGAAATACCACTTCCTTAAGTCTGGACCAGTTTTTCAAACCACAGGTATGCTTTAATTTGGGGGTTTTGTCAGGAGTTGGCAGCGTTCTGTTTTTCTGTGTTTTTCTTTATCCCTCTTTACACTTTCCCACTGATTTCCTTTTTCTGCTCATCTTCATTAAAACCTCTATTCAGTTTAATTTGTCTGCCTCCATGCTTGAATCCTATTCTGGTCACTAAAGCATGTTATTTGTTTGTATACTGGTCCTACATTTGTTATTACCCCAGTTCTCCCAGACATCAGTGCTTACCACCCAACGCACACTACCCTCCAGAGCAGGTGTGGCCTGCCTGTATGCCACGTCAGCATCTGTGAACCTTTGTGTTGTGGTTTGTTTGTAGTGTTGAGTTGGGGTGGGGGAGGAAGTGTTTGTGTGGGGGAAATATCCTCACTGCTGTCCTCTGTTGGACAGGAGGAGCTAGCCATGCTGAGGAGGCAGCTGGAGGGCAAAGACGGAGAGATGAGGAGGCTACAGGATGAGACTGGCTTCAAAGCCATTGCCTCGAGCAGTGCAGATCCTACAGAAAGAGGTGGGGAAAACCTGTCCAATCACAAACCTTACTGAAGATGAGCATGCATGCCGTTTTAAACTCGTGTTCAACTTTGTTAAATTATTGAGTTGTAATATCTGTGTATAATTAGCAAAGCACAAGGCTTAGTTCAGCAAGAAGTCGGAATCTGCAACCAACCACTTTCTGTTTCATAATTCTCTGTCCTGTTTAGTCTCTCATCCAGACGAAACTCTTAGAAAGAGGCTGAAAGAAAAACGTAAGGGGGGTTTTTATGCTTGTGTTTATTATTGCACTTTATTACTGCACCCATCTCAACACCTGTTTGCATGAACGAGCATGAGCCACCTGAACTCTGCTTGTCCATTATAACCCATTGGAGTGCTAATACCTGACCACAGAGCACCACATCACCAATCTAGTAATCTTTTTAAGGACTTTCAACTGAACAAAACCAAGGTCCTGCAAAAGCTGTGTATCTGTGTTTTTACTGTCCAACCTGGAACAGCAGCAAGGAATGTCTGCTTTGTGTTTTCAGCAGGAATGAGGGAATGACTCGTGTTGTTTGTCATAACCATTCAGGCTGCTCACTCATGCTCTTGCCTCCCTCAATATCTCTCCTCAAACTCTAAACCTTCCCCTGCTCACACCAACCAGTGTGTGTGCCTCGCTAACCTGCAATGTTGTTGTCATTTTCAGTGTCGTATCTTTTATGTGAGTGATGTGATGTGAGTTCATATCGGACCAGACCATTAGCGGGCTTTCACTTATTTGAACAATTTCATTTTTCATGCAGTGCACAGACTCCCTCATCAACACATGTCAGATTAATTTTATATTTCGCACCTCTTGAAACAAGTTTAAAAGCAATGACTGTATGTGTGCGTGTGTTAGTTTCTTGTTAGAGATCGCATTGAAGTACCTTTTGTTTTGGATGACTTGGAGATAATAATCCTGTGGGGGAAGGCTTGACGGATTGCTAATGTTGAGGGTTGACTGCTCGCAGAGCCTTGTGTGAGCTCTGAAAAGTGAAAATGTTCTTCAAAGTGAAATATGTGAAACATCTGTTCACACAAGGATTTGGTGTAATAATTTGCAGGACTCTTAAAAACAAAGAGTGTGGCTGCGATGTTACTGGAAGGACAGTAATGTTGCGGCCTGTATGGTCCGAATGGATGAAATCCTACAGTTGCACCCTGTGTGTTCTGGCCTAGTATCCATCCCCACGTGAGCACTGTAGTTCTTCATCTGTAATCATTTTCTTTCTTCGCCAGATGTGGAAGTGCAAAGAATGAAAAAGGCAGTCGAATCATTGATGGCAGCCAATGAGGAGAAGGTACATTTGACAAGTTGCGATTTCCTTTGTATCACACCAAGTGATTTAACTCTCCTCCTGAAGCATGGGCCTCACTGTGGGTTTTAATTGTCTTTCCTTCGCAGGATCGTAAGATTGATGAGCTGAAGCAGTCGCTGCTGCGGTATAAGAAAGTTCAGAACATGGTGATGTCAGTGCAAGGGAAGAAAGGTACTTCTGTTGGAGTAGATGAATCATTTTAATGTTATGTCAGTGACAAAGAAGCACAAAAGTAAGCCAGTCTTCGAGGTGGTTGCTGGCTTTATTTCAGTACGATATAAAAATCACCTTGCAGAAACTTGAAGCTAGAGATAATCCACCACATGGAGCAATAAGTCAGCATGTTCCCCTCGACTCTGTGGTATAGTGCAGGGACCGCTTTGAAAACTGCCCTTATAAGTGTATTACTGAAACTTGCGTCTGGCTACCAAACCGCAACCCTTTTCTATAAATTATCCTGCTTGTTTTCTTATGGGTGTGTTTGTATAGCTCTTAACTTGCTGTTTGCTCAATGATTAGTTCTGTAGCATTAGTCTTGTGAGATCTGTGAAGTTAGTCTTCTTTGATAAACCTTTTTTTCTGTTGCTCAGAGCTTTAAGATGAGATGATCGATGCCAAATTAAATGACTGGTTCTTAAATGTTACAAGTCAAATTTTTAAACTGGATGTTATTCTTTGTCCACTACAGAGAAAACCAAAGATAATGAACACGTCGAGAGTCATAGTGATGGAGCTATCACATTCTTGTTAACCAACTCTGGGTCTACGGAGTCAGAAAAGCATGAAGTTACTGATGTTGAACAACTGAAAAGGACGAGCCCAGATGAGGTTTGTGTAGCGTACTGTGACGGGATGTCACAAATGAGCATCTTAAAATCAATCTAACCGTCTGCATGACAACCTTTTATTTAAACATAGCAAATGGGATGCAGTTTTACAAAAATGTAGAAAAAGATTTTTCCCTCAAGCAACTTCAAATCTCATTCAACTCTGAAATGCTCCGTATAACACTTATAGCTCACATAAATTTCACACTTATGAAATGAGTGTTGAAGGACTTAACATCCAATTAATTGAATAACATCTCCTGTCAGCTCTCTCCGCATGTGTGCAGATTTAGATTGCTTAGTTCTCATGACCCCAGGAGAATATGCAAGTTAATGTTTTCTGATGGCACATAGTTGGATTTTTAAGCTTTATCCATTTTTCTTCTTTTCTCATTCTGATCTGTGCTTAGTTGGAGATCCTCAATGGACTGAGTGAAGAGCCTTCACCCACACCTAGCCCTTCAGACCCGGAACAAGTGTCAGAGTCTGCACCAACAGATTTAATAAGGTGAAACATTTCTCTTTCATATGCGTCGATTTAAGTCAAGGGCAATGTAGAGTTTGGCTCATGTAGGATTTTGTTTTCTTTTTTGTGTGCCATTACTCAAGTGCATCAATGAATATCAATAAATAAAATGCTGCAGGTTTAGCAGACTGATTTGCTCTCTGTATAATTTTTAGTTTCTAAATAATCTAGATTTTTGAATCAGACCTAGTATGAGATCTTAAATACTAAAAAACATACAGGTATGGAAATTACAGGTTGTAAATATTGTAATATTTATTTTAAGATAATGTTGTCACTAAGTATTTTGTCCATGTATCATTTACACTCACTACTGTGTATAGAGTGCTGCCCAGAGCAGCTACACACTAGTATACTCTGTTTGCATAAGCAGGCCGACACCTGTTTTGCTCATTTACTGCAGCCATGTAGAGTGTGAGGAAGTGTCTCAGTAGCCTTCTTAAGTTGCACATGAGAAGAATGTGTGTAACAGTAGTTCATATCCTGTAGCCCCACACGGCTGCTTCTTATGACCCTGTGAGATGAGCTGTCACTATCTCCACGACACTGCTATGAGTGACAAATTAATTCTTATGGTTTGTCATTTTAGCAGCCAAGACACCACAACGACTGGCAGCCAGGACCAGCTGGATAAAAGCAATAATGAAAAGGTAACATTATTGATTATGGGGAAGGAGTCCTGTTTTCTTTGCCAAAAGCATGAATGCTTTCTCTCTTTTTCTCTTTGCCTCATAGTGTTTGTCTTATAAGTCTGTAAAATGCACCACAGCATCCCTAGTGTTTGTAGCCTTTAGAATACACTACATGTTGTGCGCAGTCTGCATCTTTTAACTTTGTTTATTTACAGTAAAATGTACAATATTTCCATTCTAATCTCAAATAAACTTAAAAGTTCAGCATATTATATTTGACCAGTATGTATAAACACAAGTGCCTTGTAGGAGTAATGTGTTTTGTTCTCTCAGAATACAAGCGAAGAGATCAGTAAGATCAGTGAAAAGCCGCCCAAAGGTCCCTCTGCTACCTTGCCTGCCACCACGGAGGACGACAGCTTTGGCTCGAGGAAGGCTCGTTCATCTTTTGGAAAGGGCTTCTTTAAAATCCGTGGGGGCAAGAAGACAGCCAGTATCCCTAACCTTGGTAAGAGCAGACCACCAAGTTTACAGGGTGACTCAGTCTGTATACGACGCTATTTTGACACTAAGCTAGCTGTGTGCAAGTGACACCCATGGAATATACTATATGGACCAAGACCATAATTTGCAGCCTACACAAACTGTGGTCCCCATTTAATTATGGAAGTCTGTTTCTGTGCCGTTGGATGTCCTTCGTTCTGTGTATGTGCTTTCTGTTTGTGCGTCGTACACATGTGTGTCTGTGTTTGTTCCACCTCTCCAAATCCTGTTGGTATTTCAATCATAATTTCTGCCCTTTGTCTTGTTCTTTTTCTATTGGATCCCTGTCGTGTGTTGTGTGCGATTTGTAACACATGAAGACCGCAGCCGGAGTGCAAGTGCGCCTATGCTAGGTACAGTATAGACCACAGGTCACTGTAGGGTTGCAGTAGTTCTCCAAAGAAAACAAAAGAAACTACTGAATATATCCTACATCATTCTACACCTATGCCTATTCTAAACTCATCCATTCACATCACGCCCATGTGCTTAAACAACCACACCCCGCAGAGCTGCTGTACGTCCAACATGCAGTGTGCTGTGTATGTTGATTTGCCTGTGTGCCTGCATGTATTTGTTTACACTCTTTTGTTCCCTTCCCCAAACACAAATCTGTGTCGAGATCCAGATTATCAGCTAAAATAATTTATTTGGATCTCGCCACTAAAAATCTAAAAACAAAACAACTAATGTACTTCCTTTTTATTCTAATAAATAAATAACTATTTTATTCCAGTCTTAGTCAGACATCAGCTGTGTCTAATGCATGCATACTAGAGTGGGTATTGCTTTTAATCCCCATCGCCATGACCTCTCACTCTGTGTATGTTTAATGGACGTCCTGTCTGAGTGTTTCCTTGGGTCTCTACACTGACGCTGTGTAGCAGCTCTGTCTCCACCGATTTGTGCTAGTCTCCCACACCGGTGCTCATGATGCTGATGATTTTCTGTGGGCATTTGTTTGTGCAGCTGAGACAGAGCGACAGGGCACTGACCATCTGGATCTGGCCGGGCTGCCGCAGAGTTCTTCCAACAGTGACAGCACCCACACACTCGCTACGACCCCAGAGGGCAAGAAAAAATCCAAAGGAATTAAGAAACTCTTCGGGAAGTGAGTAGAAAATTACACGAGAATCTTTAGCTCTTTATTTTAAGAATAGTTAAATAAGTAAGTCTTTGATTAATTAATAACAAAACTTAATTTGAATGAAATTTGTGTAATGGATATAAATGTTTACAGTATGTCAGATTCAGCTAGAAAGACAAGTATTTTATTACTATGGACATATTTTGTATGATTGTAAGGATGTTTTTTAGTATATGGACTTGAATGTTGTATTTTAAGGCTAAAAAGGAGTCAGTCTACCACATTTAACCTGGATGACAACCTACCAGAGGGTGAGTTCAAGAGGGGCGGCGTGCGAGCCACAGCTGGACCCAGACTGGGTTGGTCTCGTGACCTCCAAAGAGGCAACAAGTAAGTCTGTGCATTCAGCCTGAATAATGAGACTCAGAATGTGGTTTCCTTGTTTTGAATCTCTGGTGTACAATGAAATTCAGAGAGCAGCCTTTGTTGGGATAACAGACATCAAAAGTGCTACTACTACAATACAATACTATATACGTACTATACAATTTAACTGTGTATGTTTGTTTACTGCCACCTGTTTGTTCCTTTTTATTGAAAGTTTTTCATTTTCTATTCTCTTTTTCTAAGTGATGTTGATGCTCCCTTTGCACGCTGGTCAAAGGATCAGGTGTGTGACTGGCTGCAGGATCAGGGTCTCGGTCTTTACGTGAACATGGCTCGCGGGTGGATCTTCTCTGGTCAGACACTGCTACAGGCCTCACAACATGACCTGGAGAGGGTGAGATGAAGCAGAAGAATTTAATAAGCCGAGCAAATCTGGCAAAACCAGCAAAGTATTCTTGTTGTTGAACTTGACTATGTGGTTCCTCCAAGAATGTTCTGTGTTATACGTACTTGACTTCTTCTGGATGTTTAGGAGCTGGGCATCAAACACCCACTGCACAGAAAGAAGCTGCAGCTGGCTCTGCAGGCCCTCGGCTCAGAGGAGGAGGACAGTAAGGGAAAGCTGGACTACAATTGGGTGACGAGTGAGTACCAGCCGCCGGTCCAAAACATGAACCAAATTATCAGTTTTCTGCTGGTCTTCTGATGATGATTCTTCTTCTTGACCATTTTTACTTTGAATTAAACTTGACTGTCAACTTGACGTCCTTCTTCTGAAACTTTGTTCTTTCCCTTTCCTCTCAGGATGGCTGGATGACATCGGTCTGCCTCAGTATAAGACCCAGTTTGATGAGGGGAGAGTGGATGGTCGCATGCTGCACTACATGACAGTGGTGAGTTTTAACGAGACACATGCGCTTCCTCCTCAGATCCTGTGGATAAGTAGATCTGGTCTCTCCAGTGCCATTTTGCATTAGGATTATTGCATGGAGAGTCTGATGAGCTCCACTGGAGATGGCCTGGTCTGACCCTCCATATTTGGGACAGTGAAATCACACCACAGCATCTCTCTCTGTTCAGACTGATTTCTTTACAGAGGCTTTTTAGCCAGGGAATGTTCATTTTTACTGCTAAAGTCTGTAATGTTATTTTTATAATTTATACATTGCCATAGCTTCAACTTTGCTTTCATTGTTTGAATTTTACAGAAAGTCACTGATGTCTAACTTTGTCCCTCAGGATGACCTGCTTTCTCTGAAAGTGGGGAGTGTCCTGCATCACCTCAGTATCAAGAGAGCTATCCAGGTGCTCCGGCTCAACAACTACGAGCCCAACTGCTTGCGTCGTAGGCCATCTGACGAGGTGCAGTCACTTTAACAGTTGCCTGAGAAATTATTTGACAGGGCTTAGCAGCCAGTTCTACTGTTTGATATACTCTTTTTATAATGCACAGCTGTGTATGTAAACTCTTAAATTCATATTCTCTTTTTGTTCTTTGTGCCCATAGAACAATATTTCTCCAGCAGAGATTTCCCAGTGGACCAACCATAGGGTGATGGAGTGGCTGCGGTCTGTGGACCTCGCCGAATATGCTCCGAACCTGAGAGGCAGCGGTGTGCACGGAGGCCTGATGGTGAGACAGTCCACCGGAACCAGAGATTCTCTCCTGAATGTGTCCACTCCTAATACATCTGCTCTTTCTCTAGGTTCTGGAGCCTCGGTTCAACGTGGAGACCATGGCTTTGCTGCTGAACATCCCCCCAAACAAGACCCTGCTGCGCCGCCACCTCGCCACACATTTCAACCTGCTCATCGGCTCAGAGGCCCAGCAGCTCAAACAGGAGTGTCTTGAAAACCCAGACTACACTCTGCTCACCGCTACCACTAAGGTCAAGGTAACGCATGATCACTTGAGGATAGACCGTACATGCTTCTAAAGAGTGCTGTTAGTACTTCTCTTACAGTGGTTACACTGGTTCCCAGGGTGTTTTAAATATATAAAGAGAGAGAGAGACCCCTGCTGCAAAGACTAAGCCTTGCACATGGGGCGGGCACTCCACCGACTGAGCCACCTGCCCTCCATGAGTTAAAAATGTTTGACATGAAAATATACATTCGTATAAACAGGCAATTCAATTAAAATGAAAAAAGACTACATCAAGAATTGACAGGCTAGTGCAACTATGCAGAGTCACTCTAAACCTTACTAAACCATTTTTGATTAGCAGACCCTTAAATGTTTATTTATATGCCGCTGCCATTATGTAGTCACAAAAACTTGCTATTAAGTTATTGAAAAGATTAAGATTATTCAGTTAAAAATATAACATGGGAACCCTGAGGGATGTGTGCGTTTCTGTTTGTATATCTAAATGTAGCTATATAAAATGAACATATTCTGTATTTCTTTTTCTTCTCTCTCCTCGTTCCTGCCAGCCAAGGAAACTGTCATTTGGCAACTTTGGCAGTCTGAGGAAGAAAAAGCAGGATGACAGTGAGGAGTATGTGTGTCCGATGGATGTGGAGATGCCAAAGGGCCGAAGCTTTCAGAAAGGCTTCGAGCTCCAAATATATGAGGACGACCTTGACAGGCTAGAACAGGTGAGCTTGTTCTTCAAAGGGTCTATTGAATTATGATTTGATACCACTTAAAACATTAACATAAGTGTATATATCTAATTGCATGTACAGTAGATCTGAAATGTACTTTTGTCAGAGGCATTTATATGCATCATATGGAAAATGTCACTATTTCACGGTTTTACGTTGTCATCAGTGTTGCTTGGAAGGTGACTTTTTTTCAGTTTTCATATTCACTCAGAAAAGGTATCTGGTCAGCTTAGGTTTCTATATTCTGTTGTGGCTCTCAAATTATTGAGTTTGAAAGCTGCTTCTTGTTTCACAGATGGAGGACTCTGAGGGAACTGTGAGGCAGATCGGAGCTTTCTCGGAGGGTATTCAAAACCTGACGGTAAGAATCTAATAGTTCACCAGGACACACCGGTACTTTTGCTGCTTTTGGTTTTAAAGTTGTTCTGTGCTGTGCCTTATACCAGAGCATGCTGAAAGACGATGAATTCTTCAAAGAGACTTCAAATTCACCGAACCTCAGCGTAACAGATGAGGACTCTACTGCATGAGAACTGTCACCACCATGAGACCTGGTCCTACTGTGAATGAAACTCTGTGCCAACCCTCCCCACTCGCACACAGACTTGTCTCAACAAACCCTAAGAATGCTCCCACATTTAGTGTTACGTTAAGAGATGATCCAAAAGTATTACAGTGTCTTTTTTTTTCAGTTTTTTAAAGGACGTTGTTGAGAACGCCTACAGTCCGGTAGCCGCCATTACTCCTGACCGTCGTCTCCTTTAATGTGGTCTGATGGCCGAGGGAACATTTAGGGCAACACCACTGCTCACCTGCTAGCTGATTTCTGAAGATATTTTGTACTGGCATCTTTAGCATCAAATGTCATCCAGCAGGGGGGGAAAGACATCTACAAAATGCCGATATAGATTTTAATATAATTCTTTTAAATTGCCTTCTGACTGTAGAAACATTTTAAAAAAGAGAGATGGACTTCCTTCATAAGTGATAATGCCGAGAAGCGTTTCCTATTTTTTTTATAAGTTCGTATAAAGTAATAACTCAGAAACGGCTGCTATGTTTTCTACAGAACTAAACCTCGCTAATTTAATGGAAATATTTTATCATACGCTGAACATTTTACAGGTCTTCACTCAACAGTAATAGTCAACATGCATTTGCACCAATACATATCATAGAGTACAAAGCATAAGGAATATCATTGCATGGTATTGAAATTCAACACATTAATATAAGAGCTTGTTGTCTATTTTATTTTTTATTATAAATAGATTTTTAATGGAACCCTTTTGGCTATTTTCGGAAGAGTGTGGTGACATGTTCAGAAAAAATAATGTTGTAATGCAAACCTCGACCATACCTGAGAAGAAAGACTGTGTTGTTGTTTTTTATGTTTATCCATTTATAAGATCAATAAAGTTATTTAAATCAGTTTGGATGTTCCTCAAATGGACACAACCATCAAGTCTTTAACACACTGAGGACCGAAGAGATGATAAGAAAGTTTTTGATTTTGCTGTTGAATGATGAGAACAAAAGTATAAAGTAAAAACACTGCCATTTAAACAGTCTGTATAATGGTGACTCTTTTACTACAGAGATAGGCGGTAAATTTAAGGCTTTATATCAGCTGCACTCTTCTGTATATTATAGCTCAACCTGCAAGACGCGTAAGAGGCAAGGGAGGACAGAAAAATGAAGCGGCACATGCATCCAACTCAAACTCAACATTTCAAAGAAACTGAGACAATATTAAACAAATGAGGGCATAACAGTAAAAAAATGGAAAGTTACTGATACCCACAATGAAATATTCTGTAAAAGGACATTATCACAGTGAATGGGAGCCAGGCCTACATTAACAGTTTAGGTGTGAATAATAGAATAAACCTAAGGCCCTGTTCTCCAAACAAAGTAACTTTGAGAGGAAATCTTGCTTTTAGTTTGACTGCTAGATATATTTGAGGATACCAAAAGGTTTTTTTCTTTAAAGTTTAACTGAAGCAGAAATATGAAAATAGTTTGTGCATTGTTTAACATTTTGCAGAGTGCTCTTAACAAAATGTGCATCTGTATTTTGATTTTCCTCAAGATTAAACTAATGACAAGGGTAAAACATAAGGTAAATCATGTTAAACACTTTTGCACTGTTTAATTGTGCCAAAAGTCATTGTAGAGGTTGCAGTTCAAAGATCAGCAGTTCTCCCCCAAAAAAGTAAATACCATGCATTCAATTACACAAGCTAAAGTATTGAAGTATTTGCAGTAGGTCAAATGTAGCCTATTTCTTTCTTTCACTGCTATTACTGCAATAGGTCCTAAAATATACCAACATACTGTATGTTGCTCGTACAATGTGAAAGCCAACTTTGACACTGGTATTATTAACACTACAACTTCAAGCCCATGAGCACACAGTCAGAACTAATAAGAATAAAGATCACTGTAATATTATTTTGAACTACTTGTGAAAACTATTTGAAATTACACCTGAAATGATTTTTTGGAATCAGCTCAAAGTCAAAAAATGTTGATGACCAGACCTGAATTATCCATTATAAAATAATATTTTCAAAGAGACCTTATATAGTCAAATCCTTGTATATCATTGGTCAGGGGGATACAAGTCTCATAACAGTAGAATTGATGAAAATATAACCTGACTAAGAGTATTCATGTTATTTTTTCTAATAATTTTCTAATCCCAGTGACTGACAAAGCCACACACGCACAATACCACTGTTGACTGTCAATTAATGGAAAGGTTTGTCAACTGTGAAATGCACCATATCACAAATGACAATTTCTCTCTCTTCACTCTTCTAGCAGTCCTTTTGCACCTCTCTGCTGCTCACCCTGTGTAGGTGCACTATGACATAAAACACATTTTTAGTTTTGTATTAACAAAAAAAAGTTAATTGTGAGCATTTACATCATTAATATAATGGATTTAATACTATTTCAACTGCTCGTATCACTTAAGCCTATAGCCTATGGCCCATATCGCCAAGAAGAAAAAAAGGCCCATGGAAAAGTTATTTGTAGGCCTATTTTCTCAGCATGCTTGTTTGTTCAATAATTTAAGCAGATAAAGACGATGCGTATACTTTTGATTTCCCTGTTCAAACGTGGTCACAACACAGATTAACAGTTAGAATTTTGGGGGTTCTACTAATCCAAAGGGCAAAATACACGGAAAACTACCTTGTGTTTAAAATATGTGGGCTACAAATCTCATCACATCTCTCTCCTTGGTAACACCAGATAACCAGCCAGGTGTGTCCCTTCACATATGACAGAGTACGCAGTCCGTTTTGTGCCGCTCTGCAGATCAGACCACACATCTCTCCTCATCAGGAACAAGATTGAGAATATTGTGCAGCAGAAGATTCCCCGCCGAAATCTGCGCTCAGAGCCGGTGCTCGTGCTCTATATTTGCAAACCACGCTTTCTATGTGATATCTGTGTAAACGCAATCAGAGGTTATTCACTTTCAGGCATTAGAAGTTGTAATGGCTGTTTCACCATCATTACATCTACACTTTAAGAACAACATTTGGCGAAAGTGCGTCAAATCAGTGAGACGAAGCGCCCTCTGGTGGCTATGCAATAAAAACTTGTGCACGTCAGATCGAGTTTGTCCAGAAATGCCCATGCGCGGCCTGCAAGTTATGCAACTGCTGGTGGATAGTGGACCTACAGTGGAACAGACGTGAGCGCTCCACTGTGGTCCGAGCTGAAGGAGTGGAAGCGTGCAAAAAGTATCATGGCTGGAAGGTATGTGGTTTTATTTTTGGCCAAACACTAATCTGAAAAAATTATTGCGTCCCTGTGGACAAGCTCAGTTTGGCCAGTTTGTAACACTGTCTTTTATGACTTGAATCCTTTAACCTGGTTTTCTTTATGTTAGACAGCAGGCTAGATCAGTCTTTGTTCCCCTTTTCTCCCCACTGTTTGAGATATTGATAGAAAATGTGTCATATGTGTGATGTACAGGTTCTGTGGAGTCCTTGCCGTTCTTGCAGTGTTTCTTAGTGGACTGAATGCATCAAGGTACAGCAGCAAAGAAGAACATTTCTCATGAGTTACTGTGTTTTCCAGTCTGTCAGTTTTCTGTATCTCTCCTGTCTGACTTTGTTTATTGTGTAACAGGCCATTAGTAAACCAGGAACTATCCAATATTTTCAATGAGCTGTGGAGGTTGGATGTGAATCGCATGACGCCTGGGCTAGACTACACAATATCTGTTCAGGTATGGAGCGTGCTCTTATTCAGACAACACTTATCTTCTCTCTTTTTCTTTTTTTTTTACAAAACTACATTATGCGTTTGAAATGTCCAGGGTAGAGCCAGCTATGTAAACCAGGGCAGCCATGTTGTCCAGGATCACGCCGCACAACCTCTGTTCTCCAACGTTAATGAAAACAAACTGATGAACACAACCACCATCCCACGTAAGTGTCTTTCAATCAGACAGACATTTCAGACATATGTCTTTGTTAGCCTAAAAATGTGCTATTTTGGTTTAATAAAAAAAGAACAAAAATACTTTGTGTGCCTGCAGGATTCACAAAACTGCTGGACAACTATGAGCGGTCCACAGGTGAGACCGAACAAGTCACAGCAGAGGAGCTGACAGAGACTGATCTCTTCCTGGATGCTGTTTTAGAGACAGAAGTCATGAAGGTACATTTGACATGTTACAACAAGTTGAACTTAATGAGCCATAAACACTTCAGCAGTTTCTATTGCACAAAACCTCACTTCTCACACCTTTGTTTTTAGTTTGGATGTCTCAGGTTTCTCAGAGTAAGAAGATAATGTCTATATAACATATATTATAAATTGTTTTGTTCCCCCGCCGAGGGTTTCTGGTTCGTTGATTTCCAACCTTTTGTGGTTTTGAGACAGCAGCTGAACTCCAGAGGGAGTTTAGTCTCTTCCTGCCTCCCTGCGGCACTGAACACATTACACATGACCTTAGCAAGACAGAAAACACATCTGAAACATCTGTGCGCAGCTGTGGAATGCTGCGCTGGCCTCGGCTGGTCTCCCCAAAGAGCATCAGTGGAAAAATGTGGACATGCAGTACTTATTCTGTTTGGAAGAAAGGCATGCTTTTAGACGAACCTGATCTAGAGGAAAGTTACACATTTTAGTATTTGGTTCCTTCTGTTAGTCCAGACTGTTAAAAGATAAAGGGGCTTGTCACCACAACTATTTAGCTACACTATATAATATAGAGCATACCTTCTTCATTATTTTATATATCTAATAATCAGATTCACATACACACAATAATTCACAGTACAGTGTGCAGTGAAATACTTAAATTGCCATCTCTACTGTCTGTGCATAGTGCAGGTATAATCAAAGAGAGAAAAAATATAGACAAAGTGTTAAAAAAAAACATAAAAACAATAAAAGTAGGAACATTTCGAAGGGGAAATTTAAGAAAAAGAAAATAAAGACAATCAACATACAGTAAAGATAAAACTTTTAGAGGTAAAGTGAGAATCCTAATGTGAAGTAGCTCAGGGAATTATTGAAGTGCTGCACATACAAGAGCGGTATTGTCACTAAATATTGTTTCAGTATACTGTGCAGTATTTCCACAATGGGTGTCAGTAAATGTGTGTTTCTGATTCAAGTAATAGCTTATTGAACAAATACTAAAGGTTACTACATTCTTAAAACATGTTTCCGATACTTGTATGACAAAGAAAACTCCCGCACACTGTCTAACTTGTCTAATCTTGTATGAGGTCACTGGTTTGTCTACACCAATCACCTACTTACTAAAAACAATATCATAAAGACAACATAATACACACTACATATTTTAACATTTATGGTGATGATTTTTTCCCCCTTTTCTAGAATTTTTTTATACATTTCATTGTTCATTGTAACATCTACATTATTGAAGTATGATATTGTTGTCTTTTGGACCCATTTTTTGGACCATATGTTTTGTGTTTTATATGTTGTGTTTATTTTGCTCTAAGCTATTTGTCTATTGTTATATATATATATAAGGTACCAGTAAGATTTGAGAGCATGTCTGTTCAAGAGTGCACTTTATGATATTGTTTTGATGTACATTCAGTACACAGAAATCTACACTCATCCCATGGAAATATGAATGTTTTGTAATGCTTTCCTTATTTTATGTGATTGGTGTAGACAAACAAGTGACCTCCTACAAAAGATGGCTTCTCACTATGTAACACCATTTACCTGATGAAGGTCTAGCACCAAAACATTGTGTCATTATATATTTTTTGCAAGTTAGACTGTGCAGGAGTTTTTCGTTGCTACTTTTGACTCACCTGTCCCCCTCCGACGCACCTGTATCTCATTACAGAGGTGCAAAGTAACTTACTGTTCCGAACTTTTATGATAGTAAAATGCCTCTTATTTGATTAAAATATTCTTTAAAATTCTGAAAACACAAATGTTTTCCACTGTTATTACAAGATGTCAAGTTAAAAAAGTTTATTATAAAGTTATAAAGAATTATATTTTCCAAACACATCTGAATATGAGTTGTGTTTTTGTCCGTGCAGGCCTATTTTTGTATTGCGGCGGTGCAACAGAGATAAGCTGTCTTCGAACCATTTTGTTCATCTGATCTTTTCTATGTTGTGAGAAAGTCTTGCACCAGAGTCGGGTTTCATAAATGTGATTTCTCCACAGCGGGCTCACAAGTACCTGGTGAGCAAAGGACAGTCGAGCTCCAACCTGAGGCAGTTTAAGAATCAACTGCGCTTGATCTGGTTTAATCTCTACCACAGACAGAGAAACACAGGGTGAGATGCCGAAACGTGAACATGTCATTAAATCAGAGTGTGTTCAGAAAGCAACCAAGGGATTTACTACAACTGTGTGAAAGGTTGGCCTATAAACTTGTTTTGAAGTAATGTTTTATTTTTGTGTGGTATTTCCAAACTGAAACATTCACCAGCCTGGACTCCTCTGGATTCGAACATGTCTTTGTTGGAGAGACAAAATCTGGAACAGAAATCATTGGTTTTCACAACTGGATCCAGTTCTACCTGCAAGAAAAAAGCAACCACTTGGACTACAAAGGATACAAGGCCAGGCAACAAGACTTTGTAAGTGTAACAGTTCATCAGACAAAGGAGATGCATTTATTTCTGTAACAACATCAACTGTTGTCTTTAATATCCACCCACAACTGTATCTGATTCCACAGCCTGATCAGGACGACCACGTTCTGAACCTCCAGTTCAGCTGGCATGGCGTGGTGAAGCCCGTCGGCAGCGCCTTCATCGGGACCAGCCCTGAGTTCGAGATGGCGCTCTTCACCATCGTCTTCCTCATGAACACGGAGAGGAGCACCACAGTGCTGGTCAACATTGACCAGTGTCAGATGGAGCTGGTGGTCATTCGGCACGGGCGCTCCCTCGGGACGGCGTACCCCAAACTGCTCAGCAGCAACAACAGACATGTTAGGCAGCACTCACACTGATGTGGAGGATCTTCAGATGCTAAGTGATACTCACATCCTTATAATGTTCATGCCCACGAATCAGAGACACAAATGTACTGTGGTATAGTATAGTGCACCACATAGATTTTTTTTTTTTTATTACACGTCTGTAATTTTAATCAGTACCATTGAAAAGTTGATTGATTTGTCATTAAAAGCTAAATAAAAGTAAATGGAGCTTTTTAAAGTCAAATATTTCATGTGTTTATGTCAGGGATTTCATTTAACCTTTTTAATACATTGAAGTCACTTCTTTGCTGTGATGTAATGAATAAAGTTGTGCAAATGTGGAAAAAATGCTCAAATCTTTTACTTCAGTAAAAGTGGCATTAACATATTGATGATGTGTTACATTACGTTGTACAGAATTGGCCCTAAAATGTTCTCAGGGGTCCAAAAAGTGTTAACTAGGAGGAATTATTCTTTTAAGAGTGTTATTTTATTGGCATGTTAACATGGGAGCAGTATTTTAATGCTGCAGTTGGTCTCTTTTTACAAATACTAAAAAAAACAAAACAATTTCTTTGTTAGAATGTAGTTCTAGTGAAAGCTGTTGACAGCTAGGTCTGTGGGTTATTCAGAGCTGAGATGGTTTTAAGTCTTTTGAGGAAAGTCCCAGTCACAAGTCTTTGTGAGAAAATCACAAGGCAGGTCTCTCTGAATGTAGAGACAGGTCTCTACAACTGAACATTGTACTTAAAGCTGTTTTAATAGTGTTATTTTAACACAATGACGTAATAAATCAATATATCAGGTGTTAGGCCATGCAAGACCCACCTGTCCCTATCCTATTTGTTTGATGTTCAGGGATTTTATCTGGAAAAAACTGGTTATATTTAATAGTTATAAGTCTATTTAATATAGGTTTAATGTATGTTTAATGTATGTATGTTTCGTATGCTACTGGATACTTGAATTTCCCTCGGGATAAATAAAGTATATATATATATCTATCTACCTATCTATCTTAATTGTTTTGATCAAAATATTTGCTACGTCCGTACGTTGACTGATATATGTATATATTTCACAGACACTTGCTGGATAACCACACTAACACACCCGGATCTATATTGCTGCAGAATAATAAACTTACACGTGTTATCACTAACAGTGGACACTTTCTTTAGTTCCGCCCGCCCGCACGGACCCATTACAGTGGGACTCACCAGAGGGACTCATGTTGGATCGACTTCCGACGCCGTATATCAACACTGACAGCATGACCGGAGTTTTATGTATTTACTGTTGAACAGTAGAAATAACCATGGAGGTGCTTGGAGGAGAGTTTTGTGACATGAGTCCTCAGGAGCTGGCGGCTCCTGTCAACACTGTAGCGGTGAGTTTAGAGGAAACAAAGACCGAGAGCTTCACACCACGAGTGCAGAGAAGCTAACGTGTGGCTAGCAGCAGCACAGAGAAACACAACAGCTTACACAGTGTGCTGGGGGGTACATCAAGCTGTGTCTCTGTCTGTTGTGTTGAAAAGAGTCACATTTACTTACATTTTGTCAGGCTGCAGCTTGAAGACAGTTGTTTAACTCTTTGTCTTAAATTAACAACAGTTGCAGGATAAAAGTGCCAATGAAATTGCTCTCACTGCTCTGTTTTTCTTTCTGACAGGACAAATGGAAACTGTTACCAGCCTTCCTGAAGGTAACAGAACACACCTTCATGCACTTGCTGCACATTTTACTGAATTTAATCCTTTAGTCTCTAAATCCTCTATCACGGTATATGTCATTTATATTGAGATCCTAATGTAAATACGTTTTCTAAAAAATCTACTGAAATGTAAATTTTTCTAAATGCTTAACAAATCTAGAAATGTCATCCTGTTAATGCACAAATTAAACTATACCAAGTCTGATGTTAGTTAACATTATGCAAGCAAGTGTGGATACTGACTTTGTGTTTGGATTTATGTTGATCAGCAATTTCTTTATTTCTGTTTTATTATCTGGTCACAGAAAGGCAATTATTTTATGTTACTTTACTAATCAGACTAATTGTTGTTTCAGCATCACCCCTCCCCCCCTTTTTTATTGTGCATAACTTATAGTTTCCCTGTCATTTTGTGACCTGCTGTTCAATCTGTTTTCCAGGTGAAAGGACTGGTGAAGCAGCACATCGACTCCTTCAACTATTTCATAAATGTGGAGGTGAAACACAAATGCAACATGAGTGTGCGTGTGCTACAGCTGTATCAGCTGTGTCTTTATGTGAAGTTGAATGTCTTGTTTTCCAGATAAAGAAAATAATGAAAGCAAATGAGAAGATCACAAGTGATGCTGATCCAATGTGGTACCTCAAGTAGGTCTCATGAACGCAGATGAACCACAGACATACATGTAGCAGCTTCTAGATTCAGTTTTGAGTTCAAAATATTTGCTTTCTAGATACCTCAATATCTACATTGGCATGCCGGATGTTGAAGAAAGCTTCAACGTAACCAGACCAGTGTCCCCTCATGAGGTGAGCTTAGATATCAAAGAAATACATGATTTGAAATGTAAAATTTTGTCTCGCTGTAGTTTGCCTACAGTTTTTATAATTGAGGAAGCAAATATTTGCTGGTTCCAGCTTCTCAAATGTGAGAATTTGCATTTTTTTTCTGTTTTGTATTGTTGATTAAATATTTTTGGTTTTAGACCAAAGCAACGTGAAGGTGTCTCTTTGTGTTCTAGAAACTTACAGTTTTGACATTTCTTGGATTAAATGATTAATTGATATATAAACTTGATAAATCGATCATTTAAATAAATCATTAGTTGGAGCCCTAACAGGGATATTTATATTATCACTCTGACTAAATATTTTAACCTATGATATCATCAAATGTCAGATCATTTCACTTTGCTGCAGAGATGCAGTTCATCATTCGTGTTTGTTTCTACAGTGTCGTCTCAGAGACATGACCTACTCAGCGCCCATCACGGTGGACATAGAGTACACTCGTGGCAGTCAGAGAATCATCCGCAACGCACTGCCCATCGGAAGGTATCGTACTTTGTCCTTTTGTGTCCCTCACATCCTGCCCAGGTGACCTCTCACCTTCATATTCAAAACATTATTAACAAAGATTTCATCATCTTTTACTCACCTTTACTACCAATAAGTGCTGCTCTCGATCAATAATAATAATTAGTATTATATATATATAGTAGTTTTTATTTATTTCATTTTGCTTTTTTCAGGATGCCAATCATGCTGCGGAGCTCAAACTGTGTTCTCACAGGAAAGACACCCATGGAGTTTGCTAAACTCAATGAATGTCCTCTGGATCCAGGTAGGCAAAGGATCACACAGAACAAGAGCAGTAATACAGTCTCGTTATAATCAATTCATTATCCTAATAGTGCTGTATACGCACCATGTTGTATTTCTTCACAGGAGGTTATTTTATTGTAAAAGGTCAGGAGAAAGTCATTCTCATCCAAGAGCAGCTGTCCAAGAATCGGATCATTGTGGAGCAGGACAGGAAGGGTGCAGTTGGAGCCTCAGTTACCAGGTACTGTAACACCACTCCCCTAACCATTAATTCAGTGCAGACTGTTTTTAAAAATCCTTTATTGTACATTAATACTAGCACAGCTTATAGATAACTATGCTTTGGATTTATACCCTGTAAAACTCATTATTAATACTGCAAAAGACACTACATTATAAACCACTTTTGAGTTACATTTGCAGGGAACTTCAGTTAAATTCAAGTTTTATCATGAGACTTTTACAGTTAAATAATGTTATTTGGGGGGGGGGTTCAGGGTATAATAAGCAACAACTACATGTAAATCTTACTGAAATTTAATAGCTAATTAGCATTAGCTATTAAACAAAAAATTCAGTAGATCCAACAAAAAATTCAGCAGAAAAGTTCTGTTCAACCACAGCTGCCAGTTTTTCTATAAATATATATTTTTTATTGTGAAGGTGACCGCTGGTGAAACACAAAACCTGCATAAAAAAGTAAATCAGTTTTAATCCATGTCAAAGGAGCTCTTGAACTGTGGCCATACATTCTTACATTTTGCTTAATTTGCATTTCTAATCTACATCCAAAAAGTTTGTACATATTGACAGAACTCTAACTTACTCCGACAGAAAACATTTTTTACAGTCGAAGAAGTAGATGGTGTGCGTTGTGTGTAGATTTGCCTTCAAGAAATAAAGAGTTCTGAATACGATTTCTAGATTTTACAAATTATGTCGTGTCCTATTTGAATAGTGTTAAATAGATTAAAGTGCAGTTTTCCGAAAAAGATTTTCTCAAGTGCTTTAGGTGTTATATATTTATAATATATTGGACATAACGCTGGTATACAGGGGGATCTGCCTGTAGATCAGTTGACAAATGTGAAACCATGTGGCAGGAATGTGTATCATACACCCTAATACAAAAAACAAAAGAGGGACCCACTCATAAAATAAACTGCTCCACACACTGCTAAAGGTCAGAAAGACCTGAAAATGCCTCTTGTTGCTGTTGCAAGGAAGATATATTTAAATGTTAACTTTTCTCAATAGTTTCTAGTTCTCATAGTTTTGTGAAACTGTTCACTTTTTTGTCGCACCTTTTGTTTCTTGATGTACTCAGATTTGTTTTTTAATCTTGTCTTCAAATTCAGCTCCACTCATGAGAAGAAAAGTAGAACTAATATGATTGTCAAACAAGGCAGATTCTACCTGAGACACAACACGCTGTCAGAGGACGCCCCAATTGCCATCATATTCAAGGTAAAAGAGTAGTGGAGGATGAGGAGGATGGGCATTGACACAGCTAAGTGATACTATGTGTTCAGTAGGGGGTGCTGCAAGACAGCTAGATGGTTTTGGATGAAGTTGTTTTGTTGGTGTTGTTTCCCCCTGAGGCTGAAGAAAAAGCTGTTTCCAAAGTAACTTGATCTGATTAAATAACCTTTTGTCTTTCACACTGTTTGACTACCGCCCCCTGAATTGTCTGTAACAGATGATTTCATGCAACATAACTAATACATTGTATTTAGTGAGAGGTTTTGTTTTAGATTAGCGTGCAGTTAGAGGTCAGTATTTTTATTCATTCTTCATCAGATTCATTTTCATGTGTCGGCCTTTGCTCCCAATGAAAATGTCAGTTAGGCACCTGGCATCATTGACTTCTTTCCCCTCTGAGGACAAATCTCTCCAAACATGTCAACTTGTGAGCGTGGAGTGTTTGTAACTCAAGTTATTATCCACAGGACACAGTTTGCGTGCTGGCTCTGTTTGCTGTGCACTTGTATATCCTGGGTGACTTCTTCCCCGTCTCCCTCTGTGTTTGGCAGCGGCTGCAGAAACAGATCCAGCGTGGGGCAGACGGATCAGTTCCCACAGCTTCACATTTCCATAAGCAAATGTCAGGCATCCTTATGACTCCCAGTTCACCTCTCCCTCCGTGTGTATATATACACACTTGTCCTCCTTATGTCTCTGGCTCACCTCCTGTTTCAGTTACAAGTTTCAAAATGTAAATTCACCTTGCCTATAAGGTCTTAATGTGGTTGCATTAAATATCTAAATTGTTCTTTACTTTATTTTAGTTATGCTTCATACATACCTTTTCTCAATTGCATCTTGCCGTCAGTTTGCATCACATAGTCTGTGCTTGTCATTGTCACAGGGTATGGGCGTAGAGAGTGACCAGGAGATCGTGCAGATGATCGGTACGGAGGAGCACGTCATGGCCAGCTTTGCCCCGAGCCTCGAGGAATGTCAGAAGGCCCAGATCTTCACACAGACTCAGGTACCTCGGTGGTCCATGTGGTCCAATAAAAGTAAAGGAATACTCAGCTCATTTTACACACAAAAGTCAGTTAACTAGTCTCAGGAAATCCTACTTGGCCTGGAGGGAGCTTTAATTCTCTCTTTTTTTTTTTTTATCTGGATTTACCAAGATGATGTAAATAATGTTGTCATTGGAACAAAACGTACATGCCTAGATTGTTAATGGTTTTTTAAATTATGCACACCAAAAACATATAATCATAGTAAATGATAATAAAAAAAATAAGAAGACAAAAACAGACAATAAATTTCAAGTACAAAAATTTTAAGTGCATGATTAAAAAAAGTTTAGGGCTTTCTGACATTTAGTTCGCTGCTCTTTTTTTCACACACCACATTAAACAAACAAGGATGAACGGAAAATAACCCAGATGTTTTCAAGGCTCTGTGGTACAAAATGTGGGAGTGCAGTTCGAAGGGTGTAGGCCTTTTCCAGGCAGGGATGGTCTTGTAAATAAATGCAATTTGTTGCATCATGGGAAATGTAGGATCCAACATTTTTGATTTTGATCATACAGGTACTAAACGTCAGGATATCTTTGCCTCTGCCTCATCGATTTTGACTATTTTCTTTAGGAGTTAATATTGATACCGCTCTCATGCCTGTACAGCAAATAGAAAGCTACAGCCAGCACCTGGTTAGTGTAGCTTATTACTAAGACGGTTGACGTTGGCTCTGTCCAACGGTTAGGAAGTCCATCAGCCCCCCTAAAGCTCACTAAAACAACTCACCGCTGGTTGCCTGGTAAACTCACAATGACAACAATACTCAGAAAGTCACATAAACTCGGTATAAAACCACAACTTCTCGTTCTCAGTCCTTGGTTTTTAGCGATGTTTGTATGCAGATTTTGTTACCTTTGGACAGAACCAGGCTCGCTGTTTCCCTTGTTTCCAGTCTTTGTGCTAAGCTAAGCTAACTGCCTTCATATTTAGGGTACAGAAGTGACAGTGGTCGTCTTATCATCTAATTCTGCCAGAAAGTGAATTAGCATATTTCTTAAAATAGCTAATACGCTATTTAAGTTTTTGTGTAAAACAAAAGCTTAAAGAGTTTATTGTTAGTTTTTAAATTGCAGCGTGTTAATAATAACTGATTTAATCAACACAAATGTGTAGAATGATAACATCAAAACACATTATAGTATGATTCAGCTGGAAGTCGGTAAACAATGATATTGAATTATCAGCAAGCCCTAATAAGCCCATTAACTTTGTCTGAGGAGCAGGATGTTTGTGAGACACAAACAAGTGACTCCTGCCTGTTGACAGAAGGTATTTTCTTTGTCTCTCTGTGATCAGATGACTAAGGTTTTGTCTTACTAGCCCATTAAGTAATGCTTTTGGTGGGTTGTTCAGGAGCCTGCATTTTTTTTCTTTGTCATCTACAGATGAATGCAATTGGCCAATTTGTTTTTCATAAAGATTATGTTGTTAGAGGAATCACTGATGCATTGAGGCCATATTTGCTTCATAGCAACCAGTCGGCGCAGCTCTCATGCTCGTCTGTCTGCCGGCCTCCATGATGTCTTTTCATGGTATTCATTGGGTCATTGTATCGTGCACAATGACGCCTAAATCTATATAATTAAAGGCAGATAAGGCTTAAGAAACATTGTTATCAGATTATCAGATAAGTAATCTGTCTAAACCAAATTTGACTGCCTTGTTTTTTTGTAGTTACATATACTTAGGTGTGTATGTATGTATGTCTGTGTGTGTGTGTGTGTGTGTGTGTATATGTGTGTGTGTGTATATATATATATATATATATATATGCATGCATGCATCATGGCGGACAGTGTGGGTGGTCTTACAAAAAGTCTTCAGCCTCATTAACCTTTGACCTTCTATAGTTCTGTAGAGCGCTCCAGAGGCACACTGACTCAGGTGTGTGTGCTCGCGCGTGTGTGCATTATGCTCTTTTGTGATT